AAGCTCCCTTCCCTCCAATGCACTTGGCTATTGTTGTACTTCTGTGCGGTACCACGTCTCAACCACTTGCTGCGCACAACCCCGCCGCACGCGTCCAGAACAGCAGCACTTGCTCACGACGCGAATGTATTGGACACGTTTCGGCAACTGTTCGGTATTTGTGGACCCGACGAGTGGGACCCGGACCTACACGATGTACACTACAACACATGGGTTGCACAAGCTAGATTGCCGTTACGTTTTGGCGGTCTTGGGTTACGAGACTCTGTTCTTCTGTCGTCAGCTGCGTACTGGGCCAGTTGGGCGGATTCAATACGGAGCCTGATCCTTGGATTTCCGACGATCGGCCGAGATATCTTATTCCACTTAACAAACTTGGACAACGCTCAAAATTTGGCACCGGGGGCTCGACCCGATTGCCTCCGCGCCGCTGAAGAGGCTGGTCGATTTTGTGACAGTGCCAACTGGAACGACAGACCTCTCTGGGGCACACTTGCGGTCGACAATTCGCCGCCTGCGCCTCCCCCAATGCCATTGGCTCTAGGTGAATGGACTCACGGATGGCAGTTCCATGCGTCTTCAGGCGTACTACGTCAAACATATACGACGGTGTTGCGTGAATTGGGCGGTGGGCCGCATGCCCGGGCGAATGCAGCTACGGCAGGAAAAGCGCGGCTACGATCATGTATGGGTCCTTATGCGGCAATTTGGCTCACTGTATGTCCAACCACAGACAGTTTAACCATGGACAATGCAACTACATCTTGCGCTGTGCGACGACGACTCGGAATTGGGGTACGATTCGAGGGAGGGGACCCGCACGGCCATTCTCGAATGTCGGATAACACGTATGGTCGTCTCAATTCTCGACATACGTGGATGGTCACAGCTTGGCGCCAGGTCTTTACAGAAGGCGGGGGGCTCATACCTGATCGGAACATAGAACGCACCCTAAGCACGACGCATGTTCCGGTGCCCGCAGGAGACTCGAGACGACTCGACCTCATCGTCCCTTGCACGAATGTGGCACGAGGCTTACCGCTGTTTTGCGATATCACAGTGGTTTCCCCAATTCAAAGGACGGGAGCCGCTCGGACGGGCACAAGCAACCAGAGTGGTGGGCTACTAGAAAGGGCTGAAAACGAAAACAACAACACATACAGGGAAGTGGTGGACTCAGGACTTGGGGCTCTGCTGTGCTTGGGATCAGAGGTGCATGGACGATGGGGCAACCAATGCATTCAAATCCTTCCCGCTCTGGCCAGAGAAAGGCGCCGATTTCTCCCAGCAAGGGCACGGCGTGGGACCGAATTAGGCTTACTTCATCGTTGGTGGGGGTTACTTGGTATTGCCCTGCAACGATCAGTGGCGCACATGGTCCTACATGACCCCGGAGACCTACCAACGACCTCACTTGAGCCGGTTCCCGGCCTGGCTGATTTGGAGGTCCTCTGATCCTCCTCCTCCTCCTCCTCCTCCTCCTCCTCCTCCTCCTCCTCCTCCTCCTCCTCCTCCTCCTCCTCCTCCTCCTCCTCCTCCTCTTTAGCTGCTTAGCCGCCCCGCTGCCGCCGCGCTGCTGCCGCCCTCCGTCTTAGACGTTTTTCGGGCGTCGCTGCTCTGTCTCACCCGCCGCTTTCGTCGTCACCTGTTGGGGCTCGCACCTGGATAGAAAAAAAAAAAAAAAAAAAAAAAAAAAAAAAAAAATGGCAAGTCGGATGGCGGCACTTTGCTCCAGCGAATCGCCCCGGCATTTTTGTGCCAGAGACGGAAAATATCAGCTCCTTCGGTCCAGCGGCTGCGGCGCGTCCATTGTTGCAGCGTTTGCGATCGGAACCATGGGGCTCCTGCATTTTCCGGAATTAGTAAGAATACAATATCACATCGATTGTTCGCACCAATTCGCGCAACCAAGGCAAAACCCGACCTACGAATGCTCGTGGTGGATGGGCCCATGCCCGTTTCACATTGAATGGTTGCTCGAACGCCGACTGCTCCGGGAAGAACCAGTGTGCAGCTTGAGCTGATGTTCCTTCCCTGTCTGCGAACAAGTCAATGTCGAAAGGGCCGAACTTACGAACGATGTCATTCATGACTGATCGCTTTAACACGGCAACCCTGAATACATCAGTGTTCCATCGGTGTGCGAACGAAGAATCGCGAGACCCTTCGTCAGCTATGACATTAGTAGTGCCTTTAAGGTGCACTGCCATGCACCAACACCCGGCCCGTCTTTCGGCATCTTCGAAATTTTCGGCTAAATTTTGCAATGCTGGGACGCGCCCGTATCTGAATTTAATATAGTGCTCAGCAGCCGTATTGTCGACTCGAAAGACGACCCGCCACCCTCGTAACCAAGTGGCTTCTCGGCGGACTGCTTCGCGGGCCACCCACAATTCTTTGTAATTAATTGCGTTGGCGTTGTCAGCGAGAAGATGGAAGTCCTCCGGCCATGTGCCAGATACCACACAGCTGGTTTCGCACAAATTGTAAGACCATCCATGGAGTTTCGATACATCAATCTCCACTATTCGAATGCAACCAGAATCCGCGAGGGCTGTCCAATTTTCAAAATCGGTGGACTTCGGGCCCATCTTGATAATGATCCGGCCGTTCCGTGCAGTGGCCTGGCAGGCGCAATATTCAAGGAGCGAATCCACCACTCGATATGTCTGATATTTGCTGCAAAAAGTCTCACCGGAGGGTCTGCCGAAGGGTTTTTTGACCAGATTGCGTGAACGTTGAAAGCGTTCAAATCCCCCCACACATGATGCAGCCGACGACGGCCTTGAAGGAATACTTCAGCAATATGGGACGCGAGACCCGCAGCTGACGCCAACACGCGTGCTAACAAGCACCCTTCATTATTCCATTTGAGAACATTTCTGAACAGATCCTGGCATGTTTCGCGTTTCTTCGTTCAATTGAAATTTCGTTTGCGAGTGTATCAAATACCCATCCAACCCACGCTTATCTTTGTGAAGGAGGGCGTAATCCAGAACATTTATTGTTGACCGGAATGCCGGCCCTCAGGAGGAAGTTGACGGCAGTTTCGGGCTTCATAGATCCGTCGCCTAATAGGTCATCAACAAAATCTGTGAGCAACACGTTTTCATGTTGAAATAACAGGCGCAATATTTCTTTCACACTCTGGTCGTTTAGCCCAAGGGCAGGACCGAATCCCACAGCCAAGTACGTAGAATGACCATAACATTGCCTCCCTGGAGATCAGAAACCAAATTTTAAGTAATCGTCCGTGTGCAGCTGCCAATTGTAAAAAGCATCAGCCAAATCTGCTACAAATAACCAACTGCCAGGAGCAGTGCGGGCTAACGCTAAATCAAAGGAACCGTATTCCACTTGTATTTTAGGGGCCACTTGGTTGAGACCGCTCTCACGGAAATCGACAATCATCCGAGCTTTCATGCTGTTGCCTGCGGTCTCCTTCAAAACCAAGCCACAAGGATTGACAAAGAGCTGGTCGGGACAATGGCCTGGAGGGAAAAAAAAGGATCTTCCCAAGGCGGTTTAGTCGATCCCATTCGGTTTCAGCGTGCGGCAAATTGTCTAATAACGAACGATAGTTGCGATGCACTCTGGGCTCGACAGCGGTATCGAAAGCAAACTAATAGCCGTGTTCCCACCATTGTAAGATTTGTGGTCTGGCACCCAATGTACGTAATAAATTTATATCAAGCCGGAGGCCCCGAACACCAGCGAACCATATCGCCCTAGAATCGGCATCAACAATGTCGCGTTTGAGCGAATCCAAAGAAGTTGCCATCGGTTGCCTATGCAGCAGGCTTGGGCCAATTGCTCCGGATAGTCTACAGAAGCACAATGCTCGCACCTCAGGCCCGCAAGTAGTGCGCGACAAAGCATGATCCCCCGAACGCTAAGCCCGAATAACTTCTCTCACAACTGGCGTCCCGCCTGGCCCGAACGGCCAACGAACGTCCCGGCCGAGGAAAGGAGATCATCTTTCGGAATGGCGCGGCTCAAACGGTCTTTAATCGCGGCCCGAACGGCCATTACGCTGAGCAAAAGCTTACTGCAAATGCCAAAGTCCGAAAGGCAACGGGAGCAAGCCTTCCCGTAGGAGCGAAGCCTTTGCAAGGTTTCTGCAAATACGGCCACAAAAAGGCCAACAAATGAAGAAAAACGCAAAAATTGGCGGAAACCGAATGCAACCACCAACTATGCGCGTGCCCCGAACGGGCACGGCCCGAAAGGCCCACTGGCAACGCGGGAACGTGACTCCCCGAGCCATGGAGGGTGCACAAATTCACCTTACAGGCCGCCTGCGCCGGATCGGGGTCACACGGCGCCCGTAGGCATCAGCAGCGGCAGATCTCAGAATATTCGAAAGGCTTCGCCCTCTTCCTATTCTGATCAACTGAAATATGAAATATCCTGGGCCGAATGGTTATGGAACGGATGCTGCTTCCAACGCGTCTCCTGCGGTTCATACACGAATGCGCATCACCCTGCTCAATGGAGCTTCCAATGGATCCTCCCGGAGGTCGGGCGTCGCCGTTTCTCGTTTTCTCGGGGAGCACACTAAGTCTTCGCAGGATTTTTCGTCGCCGCTTTTTGTCCAGAGTTCCTTGGCGTCCTTTTCGGGCGCGTGATGCGGACCGCGGCTTGCTCGGGGGCCTCCTTGGGGCGCGTGGCCTCATGGGGGGCGCCGCCGAAGGTCCCAATGTCAGGGTTCACATATGTTCCCTGGCAAATTTGGGCACGCGCACACGCACGCGGTTCGTGGCCTCATAGGGAGCTTCACCGAAGCCTCAATAGCACAACCCACATGCGTCCCAAATCCAGTTTTGGCACGCCTTTCACACTGTGCGTGGCTTCGTATGGAGATTTAAGGAGTTTCACCGAAGGCCCTCGTGGCACGGTTCGCATGCGTGACGGTAAGTGTTTTGGCGAGTCGTCGTCGTTGTTTGTTCGAAGAGGTTAACTGAATGTTTGCGTTTTGCTCGCTGTTTTTTTGTTGGGGTGGGTTTGTGTGGGGCGAGTCGCGTCGCCATTTCTCGGTGACACTCGGCAAGTGTGCAAGAATTGAAATATCTTCGTTGGTTTTTCTGAGCAGATGGGTTGGATCAGAATAAAGGGGAGGGATGAATGCGCGTACCATATGCTGCATGCGTATGGGCAAACACATTTCCGCATGCAATTCTGACGATGCTTCCCGTAAAATTACGCACAATAAAATCACATTCGCGCAGACAGCTGGAATAAAAGAAACGAGAGGAAACCGGAATGGAAAAAAATGAAAGGAGGCCGGAATGGAAGGAATCTGGAATTTGAAGAAACCCAGAACCGAAATGGGCCGAACCCGGAAAGAAACCAAATTTGGAGGAATGCGAGGAAGCTGGAAGGAAACCGGAATGATGGGAAGAAGCCGGAACAAGAGGAATGGGGGGAAGCCGGAAAGAACCGGAATGATGGGAAAAAACCGAAATTAGGGGAGAAAACCGTAATCGGAAGAAGTCGGGATTGGAGGAAACCGGAATGGGAGATATAGGAGGAAGCCGGAATGGGAGGAATGGGAGGAAACTGGAATGGGAGGAAACCGGAATGGGAAGAAGCCAGAAGGGAATGAAGCCGGAATGGGAGGAAGCCGGAATAGGAGGGATGGGAAAAGCCGGAATAGGACGAAACCGGAATAGGAGGTGGGGGGAATAGGAAGAAAAAAAAAAACACGACGAGAAGACACTGCATGAATACAATTATGTCTCTACGCCGTGCGAGGCATCGGCGGGCAACCATGCAATTGGGGGGAGTCGTAGCTCTGGCGGGGCAGCACCTGCGAATCCGCCGACCCTGTCGGCGTGTGGAAGACGCATCCCGGTGTCGTCGTCTTGCGTGGATCACCGTCGTCGTCGTCGTCGTCGTCGTCGTCGTCGTCTCCGTCGTGTCCTCGTCGTCTCCGTCTCCGTTGTCCCTCGTCGTCTTCGTCGTTCCCCGTCTCCTTGAGCGCGCGAGCCAAAGCGACATTGAGCAACGTCGTAGTTGAGTCGTGGCGAAGCCCCTCCCTACCCTCCCCGCCGGGGGGGGTGGGGGGGGGTGGGGGGGGGGGGTCGCCGGGGGGGTCCCCGGGGGGGGTCGCCACCCAGATACGCATCCTCCCCGGGGGGTCCCGGAGCTCAGAAAAGCTTCAAGACGAGCCAAGAGCGACAGAAGACACCCCCAAAAGGGTACAAGAGGGCCTCGACTCGACGAACGATGGCCCCAAGACGCCCAAGACGGCCCGAAGACGGCCCAAGAGGCCCTCAAGACGCTCCAAGAGAGCCCCAAGAGCACACCCAAGAGGGCCCCAGGCGCCAAAATCGTCAATTTTACATCGGTTTTTGAATGATTTTGGCCTTCTCGCCTTTTCGGCTTTCCGACACTCCAAGACGGCCCAAGAGGCCCCCAAGAGGCCCCCAAAAGCGCCCCAAGAGGCCTACAAGAGGGCCCCAAGACGGCCCAGGAAGGCCACAGGACAGCCTCAGAGGCGCCCAAGACGGCCCAATAGGGCCCAAGACGGGCCCAAGAAACGGCCAAGAGGGGGGACGAGGAACCGAGAATTCGAGACTTCCGCCCTAAGAGGCCCCCGGGAAGCCCCAAGAGGCACCCAAAAGGCCCCAAGAGGCCCCCGAGCGGCGCCAAGACGCCCCCAAGATGCGCCGAAGACGGCCTCCGGAAGCCCCAAGAGGGCCAAAAGAGGCCCCAAGAGGCCCCACAACGGCCCCCAAGAGGCTTCAAGTTGCCTTTCAGACGCCCCCGAGAGGTCAACCACGAGATCCCAACCAACATCCATAAGGCCTCCTCCTCCTCCCCCTTCACCCTTCCTTCTCCTACTCCCTTCCGCCTCCTCCTCCTCCTCCTCCTGCCCCCCCCCTCGTGTTGTCTTTCGTCATCTTCAGGGTCGGCGGCAACGGCCGTAAGGCCTTCGCAATAAATCGTATTCTCAAAACCGAAATTTTCCGCACCGGAAGTTCATCATATTTTGACTCATTTGGTGTCGTTGCTCACCTTTTTGCGTTTCAACGCCGTTTTCCTGAGGATTACAGATTTCTATCATTACAGAAACATCGGATAAACCATATATGTTTCTTTTTGTAATCCCCGTATGTTTTTTTTTTATTGATTTTGTTAGGTTTCTGTTATGCGTGCAAATCAGCATTAGAATTTGCAGGTCGCAAGCGCGCAACAATATTCAAACTAATTGCGTCGATATTGAAGCCATATGCAATGATATTGAAAATTTTTCATAATACCGCAACCTATACGTGATACCGAAAGCATTCATCGAGTGTGGGAGCCAAATGTGTCCGAATGCAGGGACAAATTATGAATAACATCACCAATGGTAGTACCACGAACCATAGTCTGCATACATTGTAGCGCCGGTGTACATGTGCACATCAAAAGCAACCATTTGCAATAATAGCGATTTACGTGCAAATCGGCGGTTGTGCATGCCGCGATGAATCCATAAACGTTCCATTATATATATATATATATGTATATGTATATGTATAGTTATATGGATATGTATATGTATGTATGTATGTATGTATGCATGCATGCATGTATGTATGTATGTATGTAAGTAAGTATGTATGTATGTATGTATGTATGTATATGTGTATGTATGTATGTATGTATGTATGTATGTATGTATGTATGTATGTATGTATGTGTATATATACACATTGCTGTGTTTCACACGACTGATGAAGTGTACACAAACGTTGCGGTGTACACAAAACCTGTAGTACCCGCACGCGCGGTTGCACAAACGCGACGCGTGGCGTCATCAACCCCCTCCCCCCTCCCCCATGATTGCTGTCATCGGCCCGAATGCAAGAACAAGCTCCGCCCGCGTCCCCGCGCACACCGACGATGGGCCACGAGTCACAAGCGAAAAAGACGACAACTACATTAATGTCGACGACGGCGATTACAAACCAGACTCCCAAGCAAATTCCTACGCAAATCCCAGAACGCACGGCAGCAGTGCCTGGAGCGCATTTAAGGGGGGGGAAAGGAGATGGGGCCATGTAGCACGTCATGCCCCAAGCAATAAAGAAATACTCTCTTCGTGCGAAGACGAAAATACTTTTTATCTTCAAAGATGACGCGCGTCATGACGTTGCGTCACACAAGGTGGGAACGATATGGCATAAAAATGCCTTCCTTTTGGTGGTTCTGCGCGCGGCGCGAAAAACAACGACGATAACAACAACGTGTACGTGGCCATTCGCTCTTTTTGCGTGTCTACGCCACAACGCTCGTATGCAATAGCGCGCGGCGTATTCAATACAACCTCCATCTTTTTCGCAAGCAACCGTATACAAAACAGTGCTCGTAAATACCTCAGAAATTGTGTACGTGACAGCGCCGGGTTTGCGCACCACGATGTTGCATGCATC